CTCAGCAGGCAGGGTAAATATCAGGCGGTGGTAGCGCACCCGTCCAGATTTCTCCACGCACCGGCAGCAATACCCGTCACAGCCGCTGACGGGTGGGACCCACAGCGCCTGGGCCCCTCGTGTCAGCGTGGTATGCGAATGAAGCGAGAGTGTAAAAGTGCGGGCTACTATTTATTGTAGCAGTGTCGTCCACGATCCGACGGCCCGGATCGTGCCATCTCGTGATCCGATGGACGGAATGCGTCAGGGAGCGCGATCCAACGGCTGAAAATCAAACGCACGGGTGAGCTCCATTTTGTCTGTCAATCTAACAATGGGTATTGTTCGATCGATGCCCATGCAGTACCGAACGGGGTCCTAGTTTTTTTAATCCGTTATTTGCTGTTAATAAAAAAAAAAAACCTAGTTCGGCTGTGTCTATGTCCGTGGCAGTTGCCCGGAAAATATGGTAGGATCGATCGGCTTTGGCGCAATAATCTGGAATGGTTTCAGTTTGGACTTGGGTAACGGCAGACAGGCTCCATCGAGTATATATATACATCTGATCCCTGTGATGCAAAGGTTCAGCCACGACATTATTTGCAAGGATAGATACTTTTTCTCTATGCAAGGATAAATACATGCAATCAGGGAAGAAATACTTTTCTTTTTTTCTGGAGGGCTAAACACGAAATTATGGGAAATTAGAAGAAATGCACCTACATTATGAAAAATTATTAAAGAACAAATACACCTTATATAAAATAACGAAGTGGTTTCATAAAAAAAATTAAGTATGTATATAATGCTTTCATAATGAGATTTATTTCTCATGATTTACTTGTTAATTTTCTTATAAAATCCATTATTTGTTTCCTAAAAATCTGTTAATAATAAAAAAACAGTTTTACTATTTTTTAGACGTCTGTTTTTAAATTCGGCTCAGGTCGTTTTTCTGTCCGTCGGATCCGCACCAATCACTGCGCATTGGTTTGTCTTCAGTCTCCGCGTACCGGGTCGTCCTGTCGCGTTTTCGGGTTTGCGGGTCCTGGGTCTCGGATTTTCTATTCAGTCGGTAGGGCCCCACCGTGGGGGGCGGCTGCTTTTGTCTTGGTTGAGGAGGGGAGGCGGAGACGGCGGAGGGAAGGGGGCTCCTCGCAGGTGATTAGCAGCAGGTCGGCCAAGTGGAGATGGCCCGCGGCGGGTCCCCGGCAAGGAGCGCTTGAATGCGGGACGCGTGCTTCACAGGAACGGCTGCAGGTACGGAAGATGTCAGTATGGAGAGGAGCTCAGCGAAGGTCTCCCGTCATGCTCACCGCCAGCAAGCGCGGGGAGGTTTGTTGGAAATATAAGCAATTTATCGAGTGATTTTATTAACAGAAATACTAGATAAAATATGATATTGTTGGAAATATGAGCAATTTATCAAGTGATTTTACTAACAAAAATACTAGATAAAACATGACTAGTGTAGCAGTGATAAAACAAGCCATGCGATTTGACAAAGAGAAGGTAAACAACATCTTCATATATGAACCGTAACTAAACATATCTTGAGCAAACAGTATAGCAAGTTGCATATATGAAATAGAGTCTAACATATCCAGGGCAAACACTAGAACAAGGAACTGTAGCAGAACCTCTAATGGAAAGGAGACAAACACGTACGGGGCAGCAGCAGCAGAAGCGCTGGACTTGGGGTCGGTGTCCTCGCCAGCCATGTCGTCGAGGAGGTCGTGGACGTCGGGGAAGAAGTCGTCGTCGGGGAAGTAGTCGTCCAAGTCCGGGGCGTCCGTGATGAAGAAGCCAGTAGTCGCGCTGAGCGTTCCCCAAAAACCTTATCACCCTTCTCCCGTACAGGACTCAAAAGGTGCGGTCTCGGAGCCCTACTGTCCCGACCTGCGGTGCACGCCGCGAGCCGGGATGAGAAAGAACGTAGCAGCAGCGCAGTGCTCAAGAACTTGTGGCGAGAGGAGGAAGAGATTCTGGTGCGTCTGTCTGGGAGGAGATGAAACGAACAGGCAGCAGGCGAAGAGGTGCGCCGTTCGTATTCAATCTCCACTACAGCAAAACATTTCAGCTTTCGCGTGCCCTTTCGTATACCCGTAGTGCGTGGCAAATTACATCGGCTCGGCTCATTCCCGCAACCCGCGGCGCGGCGCGGCGCGACGAGGCGAGGCGAGGCGTGGCGTGGCGTGGCGGGCGGCGGAGGAGGAGCGCGCGTGGATGTCCCTCTTGTTCTCATGCTCATACAAGTGGGGAAGGAGCCTCCCTTATAAAGAGGTCCAGCTCCCTCTAAACTAGCAAGGTGGGACTAAACTTTAGTTCCACCTCTTGCCTTGCACGAATGGGCTGCGTGGGCCTCTAGGATTTATTAGGAATTTCTGAAACTGCTATTGGGCTAGGCCCAAA